ACACAGGTTGACACAGAGCTGCTGAAGCTCAGACTAAGGTTATGGCCCAGCATCCAAGTTACACTTAAGGATCTCTTAGACATTTTTCTTTCTTTTGACTTCCTCTGCAGAATGGGATATGGATGAGTGGGGCTGAGCACTGGTTTCAGGTTCTCTGCCCTTGATCCCTGTAGAAGAAATGAAATTTCTGAGTTACCATTCATAACATGGAGCTACTCCAGCTTATGCTGCTTGTGTGAGACCTTTAAATCTGTGCTGATTTAGGCATGGCAAAATGCTGGCCTGCCATTGCTTATACAGCAGCTGGAAATGCCATCAAGATGATCTTTCTTCTGGTAATGAGGGTGAAAAATCAGGACAGGAAGGTGTTGGGGCTGCTTCTCATTCCTGTTTTTGACTAGCAGGGGGGCCTGAAGCAAACAAAAAGGTTCTGCTTTCCCAGTGCTCCCTGGAAACTTGTCTGATCTGTTAAGACATGGCTCATGAGGAAAAGACAATCCTGAAAGAAAAGGCCTTTTAAGATTTTTAAACTTTCCTTGCATGATGATTATCAGGAGCTCTGTGCTGATGCTGAGGAGGGGTTGAATGGAGTTTATCGAGGTAGAGCTGTAGCCAGGCTTTGTCTGGCAACTTAATAAGATGGCAAAAGTCCTTTGAATGCCACTGAAAGTCTTTGAAATTGTGCAAAAGTCCTTTGGATTTATCGAAAGCTAATCAGTATGACATTAACAAAGAACAAAGCAAGCCTAATGAAGATGAAAGATTTGAAAAGTGGATTATTTTTCTTTTGTCCTGGCTTTTCTTCCCTGAAACACTTGCCCTTGTTGGCTGGGTAACAGGCTGTGTGTTAACAGGCTGGTTATCAAATGAAATGGGGACTGTTTGAGTGTGTTGAATTAGATCCTTTTATGCTTTGTCCGTCAGGGTTTCCTTCATAAATGCAGGTTTTAACCAAGTCATTAAAATGCTCATTTAGCTGAAATTTGGCAATCTAATTCTTCCCCTGACAAGATGCTTTAAATATCCTTTACCTAGTCAACAAAATTTGATTAAAATCAGCATGGGTGTTTCTATCCCCAAACTCCTCTCTCTCCTTCTGAATTGAGTGTCCAAAAATAACCTATTTGGATACTTTCCACGCGTTCCTCCAAAAAAACAACGTTCAGTAGAAGTGTGGAGTTTCAAACTTCTTGGATTGTAAAGGATATCTAACTATGTGAAGATGCAAAAGTAAAATTAAAGCCAGGAATAACCTGTGAGATGATCTGGACAATAGTAGAACCCCAGGAAATGATGCACTGTAGACTTGTGAGGTTTGAAAACATTAAGGTACAGCTTTGAGTAGCTTTAATCAGTAGAGATGACAGAGCCTGGAACTTCTGGTGCTCAATCTAGTGGAATCCCTCTCAGCATTAGCAGGTCACTGGCATTCTCTGAGCACCAAATACCAGAAGTAGCACACAAACACACAGAGATGGAAGTTGCCTTCCTGCTATGCAGACCTTACAGATTTTGTAAAGTCACTAAGTGAAAGTTCAGGAATGAGATTTCTTGCCTGTCCACGTGGTTTTAACCAGAAATAAAGACTTTGTCTATATCTCAGTTTTCCATGTGTGAAAGCTGACTTCCATTATGAGTTTGTCATACATACGTTCTCCTGGGGGCCTTCTGCTGCTCCCACAGGGTGAGGATGCTGATATATGTATGCATTCAGGCATCTAATCTTTTCACATAGCACTGTGTACCAAGGCTGAGCCTGATATCTGTCCAAGAGACACCAATTTTTATACTCAGGAGGACCACCTGCAGCACTGCCTCCTGAGCCTGAGCACCTTCAGGCTCTCTCAGATACCCTGTGTGGATCACAATTTGGGAATTCAGCTTCTTGCACAGGGGTGAAACTAAATTCTATTTAAATGTAGATTTAAAAGAAGGTATTGCCTTCTCTGTAGTTGCAAATGTGTCTCTAAACTCCAGAATGAGAAATGTAAATGAGAAACTGTTTTTGTGGTAACTTTTTCTTTCCCATTCATGGAAGGATAAAAAATGACTGTACCTGAGTTTGTTGAAAAACAAGCAGCAGAGGATTAGGATTTCTGGATTATTCTTTACTGGAAAAGAAGCTGATGGAGATATACTCAAAAAAACCCCAAACCCAAAACAGCATATAATGAAACTATTACAATAATAATTTATACAATTACACTTGCTTAATCTCTGCAGTTTGCAATTCTTCTTGTTCTTGGTGCATATTGGCTGCATGCACCTTCCAGTGACATTTTGCAGGAATATTTACTCCTGTATTTCAGGTACAATTCAGTAAATTGAAATTTCAAGACATCCAATGACACAAAAAAGCTTGAAAAGTGTTGAGCTTTATTGAGGCCTATTTTAGCATAGCATTCTTTCTTTCTAAACACCTGCAGAAAATTTTACTTGATTTCATTAGCAGCAAGATAAAAATATTAATATTGTTCTTTTCAAGGCTTCCTTTGTTTTGGCAATTTATTGAAGAACGTGGAAGTGATCTTACATCAATCAGAAAAAGCAATAGGTTTTGGAGTGCTGAGACTGTCATTGTGTCCTTAGGTCATTCTGGGCTGGGATATTGAAAGGGTGTAATATGACACACAACACTAGATGATTTATGCCCCTTCTATCTGGAGAATGTAGCATGGGATAATAGCTGCTGGTCTGTTTTTTAGAAATCCTCAGCACCAACAATCTCAGTTGAAATGAAAATGAAAGTGGCAGCTGCTGACCAGAGCTGAAAATGGGGCCATGGATGTCAGCCTGAAAACTGAGTTCCATTATGTTTATGGTTTAATGTCAGCATCTCAAAACTTTCTCTAAACAAAATTTTGGTTTTATTATTTCTGTAACAGCAGGGCAAGAAAAAGCATCATCAAAGATGTACTTGATTTCTCACCTGAGCCTTCTGTCTCCATCACCCTCAGTCCACAAGTGACCTGTTTTGAAAATTTGAGGGCAGTCACTTCAGTCGTTTTCAAGAAGGCAGGAAGTGTCAAGGGAGGGAGATTCTCCTAATTTCTCCTGTTACTGTTATAAATATATATATATATTTAATCAACATTATGTTGAAAGCAAACAGCTGAAGGATATCAGAATTCAGTTCATACTGGGTAGGCAACTCTATTCACTTGAGTCCTTCAATAAAACCTGTGGGATCAAGTCCTCAGTGCCAAGTTCTCTGTGCTGGCTCTAGTGACAAACCTGAGATGACCCAGACTTTTTCTTGCTTGCTTGCAACCAGCAATATCTGAAGGTAGCATAGAAATTCAGTCTTCCTGTACCTTCTCTGCACCTTTGCTGCAAGGCCACAGTGCATGGCTGGGACTGAGGGGCACTGCCTGCTAATTTTGTCTCTTCTTAATGGGGGACCAAGGGCAAAGAGTTCAGCTTGGCTGCTAAAACTGGGACACCAGGATTATTTTAAGGTGTCAGGTGAACAAATGTCATGCTGAAAGAAATGTGGAAACTTAAGAAGGAGCCAAAGCTTTGTGAAGATAGTTACATATGTGTATAAGTTCTAGTTTTTTGGTGTTCATCTGTCATTCCTGTTGCTGTATAGCAGTAGCAAGAGGCACTTGGAGTTGGGAGACTGTGACAATGTCAGGGAGGAGCAAAATGGACTATTTGAGACAGGTGTCAGCTCAGGGAAGAAAGCAGGGTCTCTAAATTAAGTTTGTAATGGTAACACAGTGGCTAATGCAAAAAACGAAATGGAGACAGAATAAAGCCTTGGTCATTTCTGTGTTAGCACATCAAGTTGTGACAAGTAGGGAAGGTATTTTCAGCCATTTGACAAAGATTTGAAAGTTTTCCTCCTTTCTTCAGGCTTCTGTTGTGGAGAGGAGTGGGCATTTTGAGGGGTTAAAGAGATACAAATAATTTTTTTTAATAAAAGTGTGGTCAATGTAACATAATCACTTCACAACAGTTGTCTGTGTAATGTTAGATGTATGATAATGTGATATTGAAAAGTTCCCCTGGGACTCATGCTTCATGCCCTGTGCAATTCTCTTCTGACTCTTCCACACTGGTAATGCCAAATTCAAGCCAAGAAAATGACAGTACTCATCTGTAAGATGTATACACACTGTAATTGCCTAAGAACAAAATTGTCTTTTATAATTTATATTCTTACTTCAGCATTTTCAGCATATCTTCTGTCAGGGAATATTGGTAAATATTGACACAAAATTGTTTCTTCGTGTAAATCAAATCTTGAAAGGTTTCATGTGCAGCTAGTGAGTGGGTGTGTGTGTTTTTGTTTATTTGTGAATATGTCTGCCTACATAATCCCTCATCTTATAGGCTACATATTTCTCTTGTCAAAAGTATGATTATTAACAGCTTTTAAATAGTAATACTTTAAAGTTATTATTGTATAGCATCTTTCATCCAAGCTTCTCATAGTACTAATTAATGCTTGATAATCCTGATAGACATAGAAAATATTATCCCCATTAATAATGGCTAAACAGAACTACAGTGTAATGAAATAATTTTCTCTAGTGGCATTGTCACTCCTGTTTCAAAGATGAGTTAGTTCTGAGTTCACTGTCTTCTCCTGTAAAATCTCAGTAGACATAGAGAGTGTTATTTTTTTATCTCAGTCTATCTGCACAAGGTCAATCCTGGAACTGATTGCGTGTGCATCTGTGTGGGTGACTGTAACTGGCTGCATTTAGAATAGTAACTGTGCTTTCTTCATCATCCTTTTTGGGTTTGGTTGTTTGAGATTCCTCTTGAGTTAACAAGCTTGATTGCAAGATGCTCTTTCTAGAGGTGAGGACATAGCCAGCTAAGTCAGCCAGAAATTGAAGCAGTAAGTCTTTTACTCTCACACTGCTTCTAAAACTCCACTCTCCTTTTGCAGGGTGGAAACATAACAGAGAACTGAACCAAACCCTCTCCCCCAGTTATGAAATGTCTGAAAGCTATCGAGATAGTATTTGACTTCTTTTCTTTTCCAGCTTAACCCACACTACCCAGAAGGTAATAATGAAGGAAAAGCTTTGGTAAGTGGAATTTATATGTTGCATATAATCTGGGGAATACTGTTTCCTTAACCCAACACATCCTGACATATGGAAGCTCTTCATAGCTTTCCTTTTCCTTATGTGTTCCAGCTGCTGGGATTGTTTTCCATATCCTGTGTAAGGTAGGATGCATCTCAGAACTGGCAATTCAGAAAGTTTTCCCTCACTCTGAGGCAAATGATAAGAAACTTATTCAAATTCTGCATCAAAGTGGCATTAGTTGAAGCTGTTCTGCTTGTTGTCTGACTGCAGATATGAAGTGTATTGGTTCTTAGCTCAGATGTGTTATTTCCTGGCAACAGCCTTTGCCTGATACAGCTTCAACAGTATTTTAGCTAATTCTGACTAATGAGGCCAGACATGGAGATTATAGTGTGTGAAGGAAGTGGAGTTGGGGGAAGTCTCCTCGGGGGTGTCTTATTGTTACTCAGTCAACAAATATTCCCAAAAAGAATAATTCCTCCATCAAATTCATGAGATTGCCTTGGAAAAGCTGAGATCTTCTTCAAAAAATTCAATTTAATTTCTTTCTGCTTGCCTTCCGGCTTTTGTTCTTTAAGAGGACACATTTTCAAGTTTTTCTCTGCACAGAGAAGGAATTTTTGATTTTTCATGACAAGAAACCCAAGATTCTTACATAATTACATGCCTTGAGGACTCCAATTTTAATAAAAATGAAGCCTTTCATAGGAGTTGGCTACATTGGTTTTCCATCTTCCCTGATATTTGGCATTAGTGGTGATATTGCAATAACAGCTAAGCTGTCTAGAGAAATGAGAATTCTCTCCTATGAAAGTACAGAAGTTCCACCAGTTGCTTCTCTTTTGTATTGGATTGAAACTTGAGGTCTTTGAAGCTTTGGAATGGAAATCAAGATCAGTTCTAGAATTCCCCAGTGAGTAGGTGTTAGGCCCTTGTCACTGAGGAGCCAATCCTATTGTACCACACCATACTTATTTTTGGTGTAAATTTTCCCTCTGTAGCCATTCCAGTTCATCTAAATAGTTAAAAATCCCCTGACTGGATAATGACAAAGGCACAAATGTAATCTAAGCATGAATGGTTAAAGGTGGCTTCACTACCAGTTTGACTTATTCCTCCTGGGTATTGGTTTCAGCTAAAACCCCAGACCAGATAAATCACGTTAGAGAAATGCTTCCAATAAAAAAGTAATCAAAGCTGATTGATGATTAAAGCTGATATCTCTGTGGAAATTTTAATTTATGCAGTCGGCACTTTCCTATGAAAGATGTTTGTTGAAGAACTTCTAGCAATTTTTGGTGACACCTCCATGTAAATCTAAGCCTACAGGCTCTGTTAGTGTGCTAAAAATCGTTTTGGATCCTTCACCCCTTTATAATCTTGTTGAAAATGCCATGAGTCAGCAATGGCTATTTAAGCCTTCATTCTGCCCTGGAGCAACCCAATATAGAAACTTCATCCCTGCACAGGAATTTATTTTACGTTGCAATGATTCAGTGCATTGAATTGTCCCTCAAAAGTAAAAGAATCTTGTAATATTTGGAGTTCTTGGAGGGTCAGCTATGTCACTCTTATATCCAATAGCATGTAACCTGGAGCATGCAGGCTTTCCTTGCTCTGGTTATCATCTGGTGTTTCCTCTGCCTGGTCTCTGCCTAACTGACTCACAGCAAAGGCATCTTCTTTTCCATCCTTTGAAGCAATTAATTTTGAAATATTGCCCATGAAGTAAATCTGGAGTGGGGAGGTTGAAGTGGACCTACCCCAGCAAAATTTGAAGTCTGAGTAGCAGGGAAATGAGAAATGAATAAACGAATCCTTGTGGCTGAAGGGCTGAACCTCGTTAGCCTGTGCCCTTGAGGCCAAGAAGGCCAATGGAATCCTGGGGTGCACTGGGAAGAGCAGTGGGTCAGGGAAGGCCAGCAGGTCAGGGAGTGATCCTGCCCCTCTGCCCAGCCCTGGGAGGCACATCTGCAGTGCTCTGTCCAGACCTGGGGTCCTCAGCACAGGAGGGACAGGGAGCTCCTGGATTGGGGCCAACAGAGGCTGAAGAGATGATTTAGGGCCTGGAGCATCTCTGGCAGGGAAAGGCTGAGGGAGCTGGGGCTGTCCAGCCTGGAGAGGAGCCCCAGCTGAGAGGGGCCCTCAGCCCTGGGTGTCCCTGCCTGCAGGGAGGGCTCCGAGCAGGGCCCAGGCTCTGCTCCAGGGGCCCAGCAATGGCACCAGAGGAACGGGCAGGGACTGAGCCCAGGAGGTTCCACCTGGGCAGGAGGCAGAACTTCTGTCCTGGGCAGTGACTGAGCACTGGACAGATTGAACAGAGAGGGTGTGGAGTCTCCTCACTGGGGATATTACAGAGCTGTCTGGACACAATCCTGTGCTCTGGTGTGGCCCTGCGGGAGCAGGGAGGTGGCACTGACCCACTGTGGTCCCTTCAGCCTGACCCATCCTGGGACTCTCTTTTTCTACTGGGCTGTTGGATGAAAGGGTAGCAGCTTCTCTGTTGTCTGGGTTTTAAAGGCAGCACAGCCATCTGTGCATTCTGTGCCAGCCCTGAACCTCTCAGCATGTGCTGGGGCTGCTTGTTCATGTTCATGGCCTGGTTTACAAGGCCTGATCCCAGTGGCTCAGGCAACTGAATTTTGGGAAGTAGCAATGGAGAATGGTTTTCCATGATGCAGCAGTGGGCATGGACACCAAGGTTCTGCCTAAGCACATCTTTTCTGCCTTGCCTTAAGTGACTCCAGAGTCACTTAAGGGTTGAAAGGGTTTTGGCTCCAGAGAGCATAAATCTTACTGGAAGTCACTGGGATTTCTGTTCCCAAGCATTAAAGGTATGTTTGGACTGAGATTTGTTGCTTGTTTATGAGCTGCTTCTTGACAATCCAGCCAAATTATCTTGCGAAGCACTGCTTTTAATTCTGGTAAAATTTGGCCTTACAATGAGTTATTAATATTCCCACATCTTAGCTCCATAATGAATTTTTTTTTTTTAAGTGGGAAGACATTTTTGAGATTTAAGGGTCTTATCAAAAAAGGGCTTCTTCATCTCTTAAAGTCTAGATTGTAGTGTATCATGTATCAAAATGCAGTGGTCTGTGTTACAGTTCCCACTAAACCCAAAATTGGTGGTTTTTATTCTGCAAATTACTATGCATGTTCTAAGGAGAGAAATGTACAGCACCAAGAAGAATGCTACCAACATCAGGGAAATGTCAGGAGCAGCTGACATTTGTTAGTGCCTTTGTGTTAAAGGCTGACTTTGGATGGGTACCTTATCTCCATTTGTCTTCATTTTCATGAGAGGGCTAATTCTAACCAGTTCCCATCTGTCTTTTATTGTTGAGATTTTTGTTAGGATGGAAACTGGTATGTACTTACTTATCATGTAAAGAAGTTGGGCAGTTCTACTGTGGGCTGCCAGGTACAATTTGATGTATCTCCTTTGACTTCTGTTTATATATCTTTATGAATTCCCAACATTCTGCAATTCTAACTTTTCCTTCTTGCTGCCAACCTGGGAGATTTTTTTTTTTTAGATAAAAACTGTAAATTAATTTTTTTTTGAAATATTTTATTTTACCTTCCAGGAATGACCTGTATTGAATTATGTTATTTTATATGGGTGATGCCATTTAAACAAGTAGAATAGACAATCTGAAAAACATTGAAAAGAAAAGAGAAAAGAAAAATCATCAGCTTAAAAATGGCAGCTTATATAAAGCCAGCAGTCAGACCGCTGGGGAGGCTGGGGGAGAAGGGGAGACACGGATGCCGGCACATTATTATTATTCTGCTGTTGCACACGGGTCTGAATCAGCTCTGGAAATGCATACATTGTTTCTTACAGAATGTCTCTGGCTCCTAACAACAGGATTGCAACGTGATGTCTCTGCTAAAAACGCGATGACTCACAAATGAGTCAACAGTGAAGGTGTTACAGGAGGCTAACTGCTGTGCTGTCTGCCAGGGCTCCTAGCAGGCAGGAGCAAGGCTGGCCATTCATTTACTCCATTTTCTTCTCATAAAGAATTTTAAAAATAATCTAACCTATGGAGTTCTGCTCACGTTACTGCTCTGTGAAAATGCTGGTTTTGTAAGAGCCTCCTAAACTGGGTTAACGTATTGAGATACCACATTGCTCTGGATTTAACAGGCATTTTCAGAACTCTGGCTGCTATTAAATTTAATTTCTGCTGAAATCTGTAGTGCAGCTTAATGTATTCATTCAGGAGCAGGGCATTATCCTTGTCTGTCTCTATGCCACAAGAGGTGTCTTCACCAATTGGAATTGTAGATTGGGTTTCTAAAAGAAAATGTATTTTAGGTCTGTCATGTTTTTGGATTGCTTTTTGCAGTTGAAATGAAGGCCCTTCTGTAAGCAAAGCTCCGTGTAGATCTCTTGAAATTTAGGTATAATGCCCAGTTGACTTAAATAAGGAAGTTTTGGGATAGTAGCAATTAGTAGCAAATTCTGTTAAGAGCTGTGAAAAGGGTTATCTGCTGAGCTGTAAGTCTCAAGGAGAACAAATCTCATTGGACCTGATTATTTTGTCACTGATTCCAGCATGGGATTTGTCTCTCCTTACATTTGCCTTCCACATGGCAAGCAGTATATTTGTGCTTTTTTTTCCTCTTTAAGCATCTTTTTAAATCATGGTGCAGTGTAAATCAGTGGTGGTAGCCCAGGAATTACAGACTTTGCTGTGGGCCTGGATCAGTATTTCCCCTTCTCACCAAAATGGTGGTTTTTCTCACCACCCAGGACTCTTTTTTTGAATGTTCAGCCTTTGCTTTCCTAGGTGGCTCCCACCCTGGCTGGGCCATGGGGGTTTACTCAGTTCCCCTTCCTGGATGTGATTATTGAGCTTTGCTGCTGCAGAATAAGGATAGGGGCTCACAGCTCTCTGTGTCAGTGCACACTGAGGTTTTCTCAGGCTGAAGGAGCTGACTCTGCTCTTTGTACCTCTGATACTTTCACTGAGTTGTTTGGAAGGGGTGGATCCAACTCCTGCCGGGCAGAAGCAGAACTCAATGTGTGATCTCCTTGATCCTTGTGAGTGATTTAACCAGTGCACAAGAATGAAGTGATTGCACCTTCCTCACCTTGGATGTGTGTCTTATGTGACTTGTGACAGCCTGTTGCTAGTTTGTTGTAGTTTGGAACAATCAAAACTATATACATTTTCCTTCCAGGAATGCACTATTTGGTAATATTGTTTTACCCACAGTTCTTTATTCCTGGCATGTAATTCACCTGGTTTTGTTTGTTTTTTATTAAGTCCTGGAAGTGCTTTCCTTGGCTGTCACTGACCACATTGCCAACATCTCTGAAACTGTTCCATTGGCTTTCTCTTCACACTGCTTTAAGTTGAATTTTCTTCTCTCTGCATTTGAGTTCCTTTGCAGTTCTTTTCTTCTTTTCTCTTAATTGAATCCAGTTTTGCTGGCTGCATCTGCTCATATGCCAGTTTCTACCTGAGCAAATGTCATCTTGTTTTCATCTGCTTAGGAATGCAGTGCTTCTCCTAAGATATTGTCTAATTAATTTAAACTATCCCAGTACTTTCACTTTTTTCCACATCCTCACATGGACTCACCTGCTGATTCAATAATGGCTGGGTTAAGTGCAGATTCTGACGGCTGCTTACTAAATTTAATTTATTGTGAGAGGCTTTCTGTACGCAAGTGTCTGTGCATTCTCTCTCTCCTACACAGGCATGTGCATGTGCACTGGGACATAAAATGAGGCACAAATACACATCCATGTTGGTCCTATGTAATGACAGCATTGCTGTCTCTCATGTACCCCTTGTATAAAACTTGTTTCCAGAGCTGTCAGGTCGGGGGTCGCTTCTTAGATCTTTTTTCTCACGAGTAGTGCCTGACTCCCATAACCCAGCTTGGGTTGTAATATTCAGATGCTAAAATAATGCTGTAAGGAGAGTTCTGAGGTTTGTGGGAGAGTTCAGCATGGAACTGCTGTACAGCTCTTGTGCGGGTCTGATTTTGCTTAGCTAAGCTCGGCATTGCAGTTAGCTGTGTTGCAGGCACTGTCTTGCCCTCTGTTGAAGAGGAATTTCTTTTTAGGCTAAAAACCAGATCTTGTACCTATGTCTGCCAGCTGCTAAGCCTGGTTGGTGGGATTTAGGGCTGGTGAACTCGTTGCTTAACTGGATCTATACAACTGCTGGGGTCACCAGGGAATGAGCAGGGTTAGCCCCATACTGCTGGGGGAACTTCTCCTCAGAACTAATGGTTGTGAACTGCTAAGGCACAGGAAACCTGCCTTTGACTCTGCCTCCTCCTGCCAGCTCACCCACTTTATACACTGGTCATGGTGTTCTGTGGTGGGGAATATCCCTTTGCCCAGTCCGGGTCAGGTGGTTCCCTCCCGGTATGGTTTCATATTTTGGTCTGTATTTTACTCAGAGCCCCAGGATAAAAAGAAAACCATACAATTATGAAGTGTCCTGCCTTTTTGTATACCAGTCATTTCAGTTTGGAAATTATAGTGAAGTGGGTAGTTTCTGGTAAACCCTAATTAGATTTCAATGTAAGTTGTGAAAAATATCAAAAAGTTTGGATGCTGTTCTAAACTATCCTGTACTACTCACCCCTTTACAGACCTCTTGAATTTTAAATTGGATTTCCAGTTTTCTGTCTTGTTATGAAGTGTAGGAAGTAGTTTTTCATTTAATATTAGACTCTGACTTACTCTTGTTAAGCTCTCAGAAGGATTTTTTTATTGTTCATATGCCTTTTCAGTTTGTGTCTCATCACAAGTACGTACAACAAAATATGTATGGAAATCACAAAAGCAATTTGCTATTTTCTCAATTCTTGCATATAGGTTAAATTTTTGGTGTATTTTTCAGTAGTATTTTTGGGCATAAGATACAAGAGGATGTGGGGACTGTCAGATGAGTTTACTCTTGTGCAAGTCACAGGAGATGGTTGCTCTCTGTCTTAGCAAGCCTTCCTCTCAAACACTTGTGGCAGTACCCTAATTACTAGAGGAGCCTAGGAAAAATGTCTTTCTGTATTTTTTTTCCTTCTCTCTCCATCCTTGATAGAAGTCATGGGATGGAGAGCTGGCATTTTGTAAGCTTGATAATGAAAAAATGGATGTTTTGGAAGGATTCAAAAAGTGCCTTGAAATGTGTTGATAACTAACCCTTTCTTCCATAATTTCACCCATCCCTGATTTTGTTGTTTAATTTCAGTTGGCAATGTGGATAATCAAAGCTTTGCCCTTGATTGTCCCTTACAGTTTGGTTTTAATCAAGCCACTAATGCAAACCAAGTACAGCCTGGCCTTTTACATTGTACAACTCTTCCTTAGTGGTGTATTGTAAATCATTATAATAGCATTTCATGCTTCCAGGGTTGGATTTTTTTCTCTTTTGGCTTTCCTCATTCCTCTTCTCCTCTCCCTCTGTGATGTATTTTGTGTACATGAATGGCCCTGGGCTGCCAGTCTCTTAATTGGTTATCAGTCTTTTGTAAGATGTGTAACTCGGCACCCCAGAGGAGCAGCTTTTACTCACACCAGTAATTCTGTTGGTTGCTGTGTGGATATGGGCACAGACTCTGAATGACTCCATCAAGCCAAGAAATGTTCTCAGGGAGGGTGGCATTTGGAGTCTGCAGGCAAAGTTGTGGAGGTGACTAAAGATATGAGGATGGTGCTGTGGGTGTCACAAAATTCCTGTGGGCTCTCAGCAGATGGTGAGAGGCAGATCCCACCTTAGCTCAAGGCCTTGGTTGAGTAACTCTGTCCCTCAAAGGGACAACTCCTGCCCTTGCAGGGGGTAAAATCAGACCTGTGCTGGACCCAGCCTTGGTATGTTATCAGCCTGTGCTGAGATTTGTAATACAATCCAGCTGGGGCTTTGCCTGCCCCCCTTGCCATGTCAAGCTGGTCCTGATGGAGCAGATGTTCTGCCTCCTGCTCTTTGGAGAATGTCCACAGGACAAGAGCGAATGGCCTCAAGCTGCTCCATGGGACGTTCAGGTTGGGCATCAGGAATAACTTCTTCTTGGAAAGGTCTGACAAACTTTGGAAGGGTTTGCCCAGGGACGTGATGGAGTCCCTGTCCCTGGAGGTATTCAGGAAACAACTGGACATGGCTCAAGTTTAGTTGACAAGGTGGTGAGTTTAGTGACAAGGTGGTCAGAGGGTGGACTTGATTTTAGAGATCTTTTCCCACCTAAATTATTCTGTGATTCTCTGAAAGCATGCTGCTCTGATTCTGCAATCTGAGAGGAAAAAGCCATCAAACTTACATAAAACAATAGATTGAAACAAATTGCTTACTTTTTAAATCTCCTACTTATCTTAAAAAAAAAAAATCTAATTTTCATTCATTCTCTTATTCCAAATGTGGCCCTTTCCAAATCAGCACTGCGTAGTTGCATCAGGTGGGAGTGAGGGGTCTGCAGCTACTGCAGGTTTTTGAGGTTGTAGGTGTCAAAAGAGGCATATCCAGTGCTGCAATGCCTCTTTAGCTTGTGGCCTGCTGTTGTTCTAATGACTGCCTGAGACCCCATGAAGCAAAGTGCATCCTTTGTGTTACTCCAAAGCCAGTTGTGGTAGATTCTTGCTCGAAGGTAAAAAAAAAAGAAAAAAAATTCAGATGTATTACTTGTCTGCAAGGTAATTGAAGAATTTCTAATGGGCCCTGATGCAAGCAAATAACCCTTGTGCCTAATCAGCAGAGAGAAGGCGACCTTCCTGCTTCAAAGAAGAAACGCCAGGCAGGGGAGAAGATTATGTATACTTTGGTCTCTGTGCCACATGGAAATGACATCGCATCTCTCTTTGAACTGGATGCCACCACCCTTCAGAGAGCTGATTGCCTGGTTCCAAGGTAAAATAAAAAAAAAATAAAGGAAATGAAAAAAGGGCAGAAAATAGTGCTGTATTGACAAGGTTTCTTCCTGGCATTATGCTGGTGAGTGAAGCAGAAAAAAAGCAAACATGAGCAAGTATTATCCTTCTGTTAAAATTTGAGGAGTGTTCATGGATAAATAAGGGATGTATAAAACATGATGCTGCTGCTGTGACTGGGTAAAATAATTATAAGGGTAAAACAAGTGACACTTAGAGAGAGTCTGTGAAGAGAAAAAATAATGGTCTAAATATTGCACAAATCTGTGCGAGGACATAATTGAACTCTGTGCACTGTTTGAAAAAAAAAAAGTACTTTTAATATATTTAACTGAATTGTTCCCAACAAAATAATGTGTGGGGTGAGCTGGGCTTCTGTTTCCCTGACAGATCATGATGCCACTGAGCACATTTGTTATTCAAATGTATTCAGCAAGTGGCTTCTGGGTTTTAATTGTCAATATTTGAAATTTTAGCTGTGTAGCATAGCTGAGATTGGTTAGATAAGTCACACGGTGTTGGTTGTGACTGAATGGGCTTGCAGACACTTAGGGCTGGTTGTTATGAGGGTGGATTTTAAAGCTGGGTACCCACAAATACTGATGTATGTGACTTTGAAGTGTGTTTGCTATGCTAAGTTCTGCCAGATAATTTGCTTACTTGAATACTCAAAAGCCCATCAGCGGAAAGGGAGAGCGTGAATGGAGACCACAGTGAATATATTTCAAAAGTAAAAATTCAGAGTTAAAATTGTAATTGATTTCTCAGCTCTGCTTTTTGATAATACCACAGATTATCATATGGAAAGAATTTAGAAGGATCTCATATCTACTCTTTGTTCACTTGATTTTCAGTTGAGAACTGGTACTGTAAATGCTTGCTCTGGAACAAGGGTTTGCAGATCATAATGATGAAGCTGTGAAACCACGGTCAGCTTTACTTTCTGGCTTTTGTGCTGTGACAGCTTAAAAGGGTTCGTTATTCTGCAGGAAAAAAATAATAAAAGAATTGGGTTTATTCATGAAATGTATTTCTGTTCAGATGGGATTTTATAACATCTTCCCTTTTAGTTTTTTTCCTTTAAAGAATATTTTACTCCTAGACTTACAAAAATACTTAAACCCAGCATTCTGCATAATCCCAAGATGCTGGCTGTTCTTGTTGCAGCTCTGCTCTGGGTGAGAAAGAAGGAGTCAAGGGAAAGGGGTACAGCTTTTAGGTCCACCTCCCCTTTTTATTGCAGTGGCTGGTGTGGCTCCTGCTCTCCAGCCTCATGCCACAGGCAGGTGTTGCAGGACACTCCACTTGCCCACGTGGGCTCAAGACTGATCCATCTCAGCTGCTGTTTGCTCTGTCCCCTTTAGGAACTCCTATGTCCGACTGAGGCACTTGTGCACCAACACTTGGGTCACCAGCACCAGCATCCCCATAGACACTGAGGAAGAGAGGCCTGTGATGTTAAAGGTAAACAAAATCCCAAATTCATTCCTGAAGCTGGCTCACTTCCAACCTATGAAATGTGCATAATAATTAGGTTAAAGTAAGAGGATTTCTCACCCACTTTAAACCAAAAATGATTGCAGATTGGGACATGCCAAACCAAAGAGGACAAGGAAGCTTTTGCCATCGTATCGGTTCCTCTGTCTGAGGTCAGAGACTTGGACTTTGCCAATGATGCCAACAAGGTTTTAGCATCAACTGTTAAAAAGCTGGAGAATGGAACAATAACCCAGAATGAAAGGAGGTTAGTGCTTTTTATTTTTTCCCTTGCTAAATTGGTGTTTGGTTACTCATGCTAACACAGTCATGGGTAGGTGATATCCACATGGACAGAGGCAAATGGGAGAGGACACTTCAGTTCTGAGAGTGCCAGCCTGGGGTTAGATGCTACCTCTGTTGGAGCATCCTTGCTGTTCCTCAGGCTGGTGTGTGTATCTCCTGTGTAAAAGCGGGGTAAACAGCACTTCCCCAGCTCACTGGCCACATAAATAAATGGGTAGTTCCCTGGGCAAATGTCTTTGTCTGGATTTCTTTTGATAATCTGCTTCTGAGCTGTAACGTGAGGGTGCATTGCATCTGATTCTCATGTACATGAAAGCAGCACTGCAGAGCTCTGGACTTGTGTTAAGTTCACCATAATGCAAAATCTGCAAAAGCCTTGGAAGGAGGTCTCAGTGTGACTGAGAAGCTGCTCCATTTGCTTTCTCATACCTATTTTCCCCGTTCTCTTTTTCTGTCTTACATCAATTTGGTGTTCACCCCTTGTATTCATCCCCATTTTTTCTGTGGCGCTATTGGAATGTCTGCTCCTCACACCCTCCCCTGAATCAAGGGATTTTGTAGTACATTTGTTGTACATTGTAGCCAGATATATTCCACTGCCAGTGATGTAGTTCGCTATTTGTCTTCAGCTGCCTGTGGTTAAACTGAATAGAAGACAACATCTCTGGCAGTGTGAATTCATAACTGTAATACATCATATACAGCTTTTTTTTTTTCTGAAATGTTGCTTTTTGGTGATGAAACTGAATTTTTGCAGTCAGTTTCCAGTAGAAATTAGACCAGATTATTTAATATCCTAACAGGCAGATTTTTAATGCCTGGGTGTTGGGACTCAGCCTTGAAAAGCTGTGGGGGCCATTTCATGATTGAGTTGACCCAGAGAGGGATACGACAGTATCCAGGTGGAACATCCCTGTATGAACCTGTCACTGTCAGTATTGTCAGATCTTGATGTTAGCAGATTGATACAACAAACATGTAAAACAATTCAGAGATGTTTCACAACAGTGCCATCATTTGTTAGTTCTTGTGATTTCCTTTGGAAAAAACCCCACACCATCTTTTTTTTGTCTTATCACCTTCTAGTATAGAGTAGTAGGAGTCCCAACAGTTTATTCCTTATTGCTCCAGCCTACAGCTGCCTTTTCTACTTTACTTTGTGGGGGTGAGACACCCCTTCACTCAGAGGGTTTAGGTGAGCAGCCCAGCTCACTTGTGGATAATGGGGACTTTGTGTCTGGCTCCCACAGGTGACTGAAAATCTCTTGGGAATTTTCCTGCCTCTTTCATAGCTTGTAGATTTGTTAGTTATGGACTAACAAATAACATTGACCAAATTGAGATGATGCTGAGTTTTTCATGTAAAAGATTGCTGGTGCTGTTAAGGGATATTCTTTGAAATCTGTAGACATCTGTGTTTCTCACTGCATGTCTGGCAAGGTGTTAGTAACAAGGAGGCAGCAATGACTTTGTTTTCTTTTTTTTTCCATTTATATTCTGTCTTTTTACATTTTCCGAAGGTGGGAGAGAAGGAATTACTACTGCCTCTGTTGTTTTTAGCACCTGCTTCTGACAAATCTTTTGTTTAGCAAAGAGTGAAACAAATGCAGTTTCTTGGGTCAGTATATATAGGAAAGCAGTTATATATGAATATATTTATGAAAAAATGTATATATGAAACAGTTTCATGGGTCAGTAGGGAAATTAGCTAGTGGCAGAATGTTTTTATTCCTCTGGTGAGTCCATCATCTTGTTTCATGGACCCATGATAAAGCATAAAAATCCTTGCTAGGCTGCATAAGTTTCTTTTTACTGCTCCTGGGCCTTGAGGCCACCAGGTATAGATTTTGGGTCTCTGAATACTGTTTATCAATCCAGCGGCCTGTTTTTTCTCTTGTTTTCCCTCTGGTTGTTGTTTTAATGCCTTGGTAAACAGCCCTGTGATTGATTTAAGCTTCTGCTGAACCAAGGCTTGGAATCCTTAATGTACATGTCAAACTTAACTTGGCAGTGGTGGAAGTTCCATTGTGCCAGGTAAAGCTTAGCGTAAATGTGATTTTCATTCTTAATGAATCCTAGCAAGTGTTGAGTGACTGTTTATAGTAATGATTTGTCTATTTATTCTAGGTTTGTAACCAAGCTACTGGAAGATCTCATTTTCTTTGTTGCTGATGTGCCCAATAACGGGCAAGAAGTTTTGGATGTGATCATTACCAAGCCAAACCGGGAACGACAGAAATTAATGAGGGAGCAAAATATATTGGCTCAGGTATGTCCTACTGTGTTAATAACTTATTTGTATTTGCAAACAGATTGCAGGAGAGAGTGATGTGAGAAAAAGTTATTTTTGGGTAAGTTGGCTTATGCCAAGTTGGGTTTGTGTTTCACTGGATTGGGTAGAAATGACACTTCTTGGTCCCTAAATCAGAGTCAAGCACAAGGGGCTGCAGAAGGCTCTTAATGTCATGTGATTCTGATAAGATTTAAGATCATGTTTGGGAGCAAATTGTTCACGAAATTTGAGACAAACATGGAATGTTGTCCCAATTGTGCAAGTGTTCCCCACATAGTGCCCCTGTGGAACTCTTCATTTGCATGAGGGCAAACTTGCAAGTACATAAAATTAATGTCCTTCTTGAGAAGTCAACTGAAAGAAATTTTTAAAAAAGGTAAAAGGATGAGACTGGACAGAAGCTAGTGTTGTCCTTCTTTTTCATCATTAAGTTATCCAAAGTTAAGACATTTAACTAAAACTGTTTAAATTTGGGGATAGTAAAGAAAAAGCAATATCAATCAGGTTGGTGGGAAATGTAAAGCTAACCCCAAATGCATAAAGCTGTGATGTCTCAGATTGTGTTCCCACTTGTATTTAGTCAAGGATGTTGTGCTGATCCTGTCAGAGGACATTTCCATTGTCTTTGAGTTCTGCTGAACTTCCATTATGTAAGTTCAGCAGAAATCTGGGTCTGGTTTTCACTCTCAGTGATTTTGATTTTGAACAGATATTTGGCATCCTCAAAGCTCCTTTTAAGGACAAAGGTGAAGGATCAATGCTGAGACTTGAAGACCTGGGCGACCAGAGATATGCTCCCTACAAATACATGTTAAGATTATGTTACAGAGTTCTAAGACACTCCCAACAGGACTATAGGAAGAACCAGGTCAGTGGTATTAAAGATAATTTTCCTCCTGATTTCTATAATTATATGTCCTGGGTTTGACATGGTGCTCTACCCTTACAAGTGGGATTCTGTGGTAATGGGGAAAGGCCTTTTTTTGTGTGTGTATAGCTTAGTAGTGTGTGAATTGAAAGTTCAACAATGAATATCACAAGTTCACTTTGTACTTTTGCAGACTGAGACTGGGGCTCACTGCTTCATTCATGAGCTTTCTGTTATTAAAAATATGTTCTTGGAGCCTGGATTGCAAAGTGGGAAATCTGCGAAGCTGTCTGTTTCTCTTGTTTAAATATTTATAGAGGGATGGCAGTGAGTCAGAGCAGAGGTTGTTATATCAGGTAGCCTGATTTCCCACTGCTGGAGACTCCCTGTGAGCAGGAGGTATTTCAGAACATGGACTAAAGGGACTGGAGATAAAAGCCTGAACTGCTGTGTGGCTTCTTTGTTTTCTTTCCAGTGTTTTACAGAAATATTTCTGTCCTGAAGGGAGAGAAAAGGAGGAGGGAAGACTCAGGAAAAAAGCTTCTTAAACGCTATAAAAACCTTTCAGTTTTCCCTTTTTTTTAAAAAAAAAAAAAAAGAGGTTGCCATTTCTTGAATTTTATATATATTTTCATGGATTCATTCCTTTGGTTTATGAAAGAATAAGAAGAGTTAGTCATCCCTAATATGGAATCTTTTTCTCAGGGTACATATTTGAGGTATTCAGAAGTTCTTTTGTTCAGGCCAGTTCAGAGAGGAAAGTTTTGAGTGTTATTTTGATTGCTAACTAAGCTGGATGCCCCTTGTTTGTAAAAGAGAAAGCACTGCTGCTCAGCAGGTCATCATGGGAATTCTTCCTTTTTTCAGGAGTATATTGCTAAGAACTTCTGTGTCATGCAGTCCCAGATTGGTTATGATATTCTGGCAGAAGACACCATCACAGCTTTGTTGCACAACAACAGAAAACTGCTAGAGAAACACATCACGGCTAAAGAAATAGAGACGTTTGTGAATTTACTCAGGAGAAATCGAGAGCCAAGGTTTGAAGTGGTCCATGTAGCATTTTTGCAGTAGCTGTGAATTGCATGCTATTCATTGCTTTGATGTCTCTTTCTCCCTGTTTTGACCTGGCAAATGAAAACCCCACCTGTACAGGAAATATTAGAGCTACCTATAATTCTTGGAATTTAACCATATCCACATTTTAAAACTAGAGCTAACTGAAAAGAGGGCTTATACTTTACAGGACAACCGTGAAAATTTGGTCTCAGTTCTGACTGGGGCAAAGAAAAATTAAGAAAAAGTTTAATTTCTCCCAGCTCTACAGCTCCTCTGTGAAACCGCCACTTGTGCTGGTTCCCCTGCTAATAATCCTGGTGTAAGTTATACACACATGTCAATTTTTCTAAGCTTTTATTAATATCAGTTTTCCTGCAGGTTCTGATTCCAGGTCAGACCTGAAAAGGGCCTAGGACAGTGAAGATCCCATAAACTTGTGTCCTAGACCAGATTTTGTTCCAAATTAAAATTTCTGGCCTTGAACTTCATTCAGCTGATATTTTTTTTTTAATAAGCTTCAGGTCAGAATATAGAAGAATTGGATTTCCTTATTTTTAAATGGAAAAATCTCTTGATGATTGGATTTTCAGTTGTAAAATGAGCAAAGTAATACAAGTATAAGAAATGAATGTACTGAAGGCCAAATATTGTTCTCTGTAATTGTGAATACCATTTTCTAGGTAGCCTTTAAGGATATTGCTCAAGGCCTTGGTGCTTCACTGCCTCAATTATTTTCTATATGCCTCTTTGGCCTCACTCTGTAATCTCATTGCCTCTCCCCTGCTCAGCTGTGTTTGGTTTGGTCAAAATGAAGAGGAAATCACAGGATCAGCTCTGTCTCTGAAGGGTCTGTGTTTATTGAAAATCTCATATTGCATTTTCTTTTGGTGGAGGATGTGATGGAATTTGTGCCATAACCACATCATGCAACTGCTGTGTATCCACTTCTTTGAGGAGTTCAGGAGCAATAAATGTTTCAAAATTGCTCCTTGCCAGAATGGTATAATCTGAACAGTAAAGACTTGATCTTGATACTGATTTTCATGGAGAGTCTTGTAGATTTTTGCAGCACTGTTGAGGTGAGTGAAAATTGTGGCATTCTGCTCTAAAACACATGAGCTACAAAATAAAAAATCTTCCTGAGTTTTGGCTCCAACCAGGTGACTTCCCCATGTAATTCCATGTAATTATGTGCTGTTTGCTTAATTTTATCTTTGTGATTGCTATGCACTTTTAACTACTAGTTGCCACAAAGCTTCGTTTCAGTTATGTGGGTGGATTTTTTCCTAAGTCTACTCTAAAAATGCTGTCTGTACTCACCCACTACAGTTCCCAGACTTTAGTGGGGATTGTGGTCTGTGCTTAGAGGTTCAAACTGTTGGATCCTTGGAGGGCTGATAGGAGATGGTCAGAGTTTGTACCTAAATTTCTAAGGAAGTGGAATACATGATCTGTGTGTGCCTGTTCACTTTTGCTCCCCTACCAGTTCTTGAGCACCTTGCTCAGTTTTAGCCTCATTTGCTAGAAGAGTGGTGGGATCAGAGATACTTAATTCCTATAATGGAAAGTGGAAACTACATCGAAGGAAGAGGCCCTTTTTATACTGCAGTGTGTCAAAGGCTGAAAAATGGATTACTGTTTCTGCACACACAGGAATCCCTGAAAAGAGACAAACCCATGTACCTAATGAATGTCCCAGCTGTGAGGAAAGCCTCAGCCTGAACCTTGTTAAACATCAGAAGACCTAAATTTGAGAGATAAATTAATAGGGAGATGATTTCCCTGCAAAGCTTTGTTCTTTCTGCTTTACATGGAATGACCTCTTGGAATACAGAGTCCTATCTGCAGGTCCTGACAGATCTGCACTCTTCTCTGGTAGCTCATCATTCCCTGGCAGTGTTCAAGGGCAGGTTGGATGGGGCTTGGAGTAACCTGATCTAGTGGAAGGTGTTGTGAGTTGCAAGAGTATGAACTGGCAGAGATCATGATATTTATCAGAGACCTTGATAAATATCATGATACAGAGTCCCTGTAGTCTACCCATCCTCTAGTGCTGAGTGCAAGAGAGTTCTACTGCAGTTCCCCAGTAGTAAGTAGCTTAAGTCTCATGTTCTGCTGCATCTGTGGTTTTTTCACTGCAGATTCTTGGATTATCTGTCAGACCTGTGTGTATCTAACACCACAGCAATACCAGTAACTCAGGAACTCATCTGCAAGTTTATGCTGAGCCCAGGGAATGCTGATATTCTCATCCAGACCAAGTGAGTATCTGTTATCAGAACATGCCACCTTTTTGTTGTCTGCTCTCTTAAATTCCCCGCACTTTGCTCGTGGCTTCATTGTGAATGGTTCGTGTTTGCAGGCTGGTTTCAACCCAAATGGACAATCCCCTGGAATGCCCAGTCATCTCAGATGACATTGATGAAGAGGAAGTGTGGCTTTACTGGATCGACAGCAACAAGGAGCCTCACGGCAAAGCCATCAGGCATCTGGCTCAGGAGGCAAAGGAGGGCACAAAAGCTGATTTAGAAGTTCTTACCTACTACAGGTAAAACTGCTTGTTCAAAGGGAAGAAAATGTAAACTCTCTGAAGAGCCCCAGTGCTGTTCTTATCCAGTTCATTTGGCAATATCAAAAAAGGAAACCAGAATCGTGAAAGAAAAAACTATGAAATCAGTTTCATGCCAGAAACTGAGACTAAGAGTTCATTTCAAGTTTTACTTGTGGGAGTTATCACAGTCTCTGCTGCCTACTCCAGGCCAATCTTGAGTTTCCTTTGCTCATCACATCTCTTTGTGTGTCTTTTATTTTGCCTCTAACCTTTTATTTATTGAGCTTTAATTTTAGGTTGTGGTGCCCTGGAAGCAAGGCATGATCTGAGAAGCGAGTGTCCTGAGTGTCTTGAGGATTAGAAAAGAAATGGGATCGTGGAATAATGTTTTACAAAATTGAAGCAACAATTGAACAAATAATTTTAATGTCAAGTTGCTCCCTTACTTAACAAAATCACTCTTGTTATTTTTAGGATTTATATCAGAAATGCTCACAACAGGCTTGTAACATGAGATTCTGAGGTGTGTTCTTTCATTTCCAGCCCATTTCGTTGAATACCACGTTATTACCTTTTTTTTTTTTAAGGTACCAACTGAACCTCTTTGCAAGAATGTGCCTGGACCGCCAGTATCTTGCCATCAACCAGATTTCTGCTCAGCTGTCAGTAGACTTGATCCTCAGGTGTATGTCTGATGAGAGCCTCCCCTATGACCTGCGGGCTTCCTTTTGCCGCCTGATGCTGCACATGCATGTGGACAGAGATCCCCAGGAGTCTGTGGTGCCTGTCAAGTACGCCAGATTGTGGACTGAAATTCCTACCAAGATCACCATTCATGAGTGAGTTGAAAGTGCTTCAAACTAAAGTACCAAAGCTCTTTGTAGGGTTAGTCTCAGAGCAAAATGGTTGTAGATGTCCAGTGTCCACAATACATGTGTGTGAAAAGCCATTTTGTTGCAGAGCACGGAACTATTAATTATTGTTACTCTTGGAAACTTCAGTGGGCAGCTTTCAATCATTAAATATTTAAATTTTATTTTTCACTATGTTCTTTTACTGGACAAGCTGGGGAAGATGGAATGGCCTTTCCTCAGACCAGCTGCACTCCAGGTAAACCTGTTGTGTCTCACATGACACATGGTTTGCTAGGCTGGAACTCGGTTTTATACCCCAAGTTCAACAGAAAGCCACAGCTGGGAACCCAGAATTAAGACACAGCCTCTGTCCACAAACAGAGGCTGTGGCCTTCACTTAGTAAAGTAATTAAGCATGTGTTAAATTTAATTTTAGAGAAAGGACCATTGATTTCAGTGGAAACCCTGTCTGGCTCCACTGATTTTATGGAGCAGCAGCACTGGGATGCTCCCAGCCAGGGAAAATCTGGCTGGAGAGACAGAGAAAGAAGCACAGCAGTGCAGCAGGCAGTGTTGTTTCTGTTAATGACCTTGTTGAATTGCCACAGCAAGATTTAAGAGTTCTATCTGCCACAAGAGTGGTATTATCCTGTCTGTATTCTTCCCATTCCTGGTACTGTTGAAGGGAAGGTTTGGGCATCCACTTTCCATATCTCCAGAGAGCTGAACTAAGTAATCTCAGAGGGTGATGACTGGTTTGTTTTTTCTTTAGTGACAGCTGATCCTGGTATTAGAGATAATTAATTTTCCTTCTTTCTGTGCCTTGTATTGTAGGTATGATTCCTTCACTGACTCTTCAAGGAATGAAATGAAGACAAAGTTTGCACTAACAATGGAATTTGTAGAAGAGTACTTGAAAGAAGTTGTGAATCAGCCCTTTCCCTTTGGAGACAAAGAGAAAAACAAACTTACATTTGAGGTACTTCTCAGCTATCTGCATCCTACTTACAGTATTCCTTATTTCAGATAGGATGACATTGCTTCTTTCAAAATAAAGCCAGTTGCAGAATAAATATTGGTGTAAAATAGCCTAAAGAAGCCCCTGTTCCTAATTCCATTGTTCTTGGTGCTGACTGCAGAAAATAATATTCTTGTCTGCTGTGTTTTTCCAACCTTTCCTTCCTTCCCTGGGGAGGTTGCATTTCAGTGGAGGAAGAGGGGATTTCTAGGGAGTGAATGGTGAATATTCCTGTTTTTTCTAAATTAGTGAAACAATTTGTAAGGATTCTTCAGTATAAGTAGGTGCTGTTTTCTGTATAGGGTATTACACTCAATGAAACACTCTGGATAACCTAATCCTGTGGTTTAAACATTGTTTGAAATTCTTGACAGAAACTTTAGATAGGCCTAGATTTTCTAGGTTCACATAGCAAAGAATTAAGGGGAAATGCTTACAGCATTTATAGTTCTTCCTCCATCCTACTTCTCTTTGTTGCTTTTGCCTCTGGTCACCTGAAATCACCTCTGTGCAAACCTATCATCTTACTCTTCTGCTGACTTCCATCTTCCCCAAAGCAGCTGCCTTTTTAAATAATTTCCCAGAGTCTTTCTTCTTGATCTTATATATTTTCACAGATGCAATTTTATCCTCTCAAGCCTTCCTAAATCTCACTTTGGTTTTGCTGTCTGCTGTAACCTGACTGATCAATTGCTTTGTCTAATCCTGACAAACATTTAATGTCACTGGCCTTAGTCCAAAAATCAGTGGCAAGACTCGTGCTAGTTTGAATGCACTCAAGAGCTGAATTTCTGTGGAAGCTGCTGTCACTCATGCGCCGGGGTCGGGGCAGGAACAGGCGAGAGCAGGATCGCAGCAAAGGCAAAGAAGGCTTTATTCCAAAGAACCGCGCGGTTTTTATAGAGTGGTACAAGAGGTTCTGTTCTATTGGCTGGCTAACAGAAACATCTTTCTCACGCACTGTCCTTGAGAGGAACAGAAAAATAAAGTAGAAAAACAGCACCTGCAAATTGTTTATAGTCAACAAGTTTTCACATCTTTTCAGCTTCCTAGAACTTCTCACAAGCCGCTGTGAGAAACACTTGCCATTTCTCTCTCTCTGTCCCATGGCATCCACAAGCTGCTGTGTGAAACGCAACTGAAAACCACAAAGGCTGTCAGTACTTCCTTCATTTTTATTTTCTTTTTCTCCTAGGTGGTACATCTGGCTCGAAACCTCATATACTTTGGCTTTTATAGTTTTAGTGAGCTTCTCAGGCTGACCCGGACGCTGCTGGCAATTCTGGATATTGTTCAAGTTCCCATCTCATCATACTTCGAAAGGCTGAGCAAGTTTCAGGATGGAGGTGAGATGAGCAGCACAGACTGTTATTCCAGTGGGTAATTAGCTTTTTAAGTTAGAAATAATTTATGGAAAATTTCATTACTCTTTCAAGGTTCTGTATTCCCACATCAGACCACCTACATACAGGAATGCATTGCAGGGGGCATTAAGATGATCAGCTAAAAATTAACTTTTTTGAACAGAGCTGCATCCTTCATGACTTTTAGGTACTGCATTGGTGTTGCTGCTCCTTTGCTTATTTGGAACTTTCAGATTTGGTTTTAAATTTCAATGTCCCATGCTCTGAACATCCCAAGAGAGTTCAAGCAGCATTTGCCTGGGTACAGGGATTATGGTGGCTCATCTGTGGCACAGCTGATTGTTAATCTTCTTAGCACTTCACTAAAAGGGAGAATGAGACGTTCTGATCCCACAATGGCAGAAGTACCCAAAAGAAGTCCAGAGAAGGCCATCCTCTGCCTGTGTTTGTCAGCTTAGAATATGCTTTTTTGAACCCAGACCACAAAGACTCTCTGACAACCCTAGGACTATTCTGTATGTCCCACTGCCTTTGCTACCATGGTTTAAAACTAGGTTGAAGAATGAGCATGCCAGGAAGGTGCTGAAATGTAGCATTTAGTTTTCCTGTGTGAGTGGAAAAGAGGTGTGACAGTGGTGTGGGCTGAGGGTCCAGAAGACTGACTGATGGCAAATTCTGCTTTAATATGTAGCTAGTGTTGCCAGCCAGCTGGCTCACAGCACCAAAATGGATGAGCTGTCTTGTTGGAAACAATTATTTTGTGTTTTCTCTGGGAGGCCTTTTCCCAGCCTTGAGTTTTTCTAATCATCATTTTGCTCAGTCACTCCCACAGATGTCCTGCAGGAGTGTGCTGTTCTTCACAATTCTTTTCTTCTTTGAGGTTCACACACTCTGGAGAGGTGTAGACTGTCATTGTCATCTCTGAACCAAGAAGTCATATGCTTGGTTCTCTTGATCTTCTCTCTATCACTGCCAGCAGACTTTAGTGACACCCTCTGGAAGTCTTTCCTGCAATGCAGTGCACACCAAGTCATGCTGTAGCTGGCTGCAGTCCCACCTCAGCCCTAGAGAAAAGACTGTATGCCCAGACACTTGGAATTATGTTTTCCTTTTTTGTCCCTGAAAGACTGCATTGCAGAGTCTCTTCTTAAATGGCTCTGGACACAGTTTGACTCCAGACATGATCTTGGCATATTTGCAACATGGGACATGCAGATGTGGTTCTTCTGCTTAGTTCTCACTCTGCCCAAGCCTTTAATCCTGATTATACATCTTGTTTAGTGTTTTTTTACTCACATTTATTACCCATAAAATCATGTTTTGTCCTGAAGTCCTTTTATTTCTACAGAAGGGTTTCCTTTCAAGCTATATAAGAGAGGAAGGAAACACCCATTAAGTGCAAACAGACCTGCTCTCAGTTATATGAATTTCCTTGGCAATTCCATGCAAATCAATGAATTTGCTTTGAAATAAATGAGTGAAGGAATGTTGCAAATGGAAGCTCAGTAGCCTTTTTAGTAGTACTCAACCACGCACTGGAGCCTTCTTGGGAACTTTTTGTCAGAAACCTGGTTTTGTCTCACGTTCTTTCAGCAAAAGAGCACAGAACAAAGGTGTGATTTTTTTTATTACCTTCAGCCTTTGTGCAGATTATTTAAATTTCTTTCCTGCTATAGCTGTCTCGGTTGATGTTTACCTTTCAAACTGTCCTGGGCTGACTATATGATGCTTTTATCCCCAGTCGTCTCGTTCTGTTATGCTGAATAATAAGTTTTGCACCTTTAAGACTTGTTGCAGAGAGTGAAGGGGGGAGAGAAGAAGTGCACAGTTTTTTTTTTCCAGACACTGCTCTCACTCCTCCACATTCCTGCTCCTGGACCGTGTTGTCTGCAGATGGACAGACAGTGGGACAGAGCTCTTTTTTGTCTTTAGTTAGTTTAGCTAGCTGAGGCAAAGAAGTTTCCTGGACTGTGGTTTTTTCCCTTTTCTTTGGACCTCTTGAAACCTGCTCTGGACTGAACACCCAGCAGAGCACCAGCAGCTGCACCTGTGGCCACCGGGCCGGGCCTGGCCTGTGACATGTCCAGCACTGGAGGGACTGACCAGAGACTGAGTGAGCTGAGCTGCAACCCGGGGAGGGACTTTCTCAGTCTGTCATCTCTTTTGGAGTAGCAAGGGGTTTTATTTTTTAATATTGTTTAGGTTTTATTGTTTAATAAACAGTTTTTTTCCACTTTTCTCCAAGGAGGTATTTTCTCCCAGACCGGTTGGGGGGAGGGACTGATTGAATTTGCTTTCCTACTGGAGCCCCTTTGGGGATTCTCTCCCAAATTTGCTCTAAACCAGGACACAAACACTGACCAGTTCAGGTCAGGATGTGACAATCCATGGATGTTCTCTTGTTAATTACCTGTGGGTTGGTTTGGTTTGTTTGGTGGGGGTTTTTCCCCTTTTTCTACTAACTCTATGTCTAGAAAGCTTTGGAGAGGTTTTTTTGCTGGTGCAGACTGTTGTCAGTCCTGTCTGCAATCTTACAGGAGCCTGGAGATATTGGCTGTGCTGTCAAGACTTAAAAACAGGCATTGAAACTTTGCTGTGGTGAGACAATGTGTTTTTATGTAGAAATAGCTGTAAGACTTTCTGGAGAGGCCTTCTACAGTCTTTGTAAAAGAAAAGGATGCCTTTGGGTGGTCAGATCTTTTCTTCAACCTCCCTTTTCTTTTCTGATTGAGAAATTATGAACTACATAAAGTGTGCATTCACTTTGCACTTGAGACAGCATGATCCTGAATATTTAACTGCTGTGTCCAAGCAGCCTTTCCTTCTGCTTTCCCTGGAGGTGCAAACTTACCTACCCATGAGCTATAAAGATGCATGTTTTTCAAGGATGAAGTTGAAGCAGTTTAATAACTCCTTTTCACTATCTTTGAGCACCCAGCTCATAGAGCTTCATGTTCAAAGCACATATTTCATGTCTGAAAATCACAACTAGAGCAAAACAAAGGAATGCTTTTCATTAAGGAGAACCACTCAAGAATCAACCATCGCTTTAGTTGCACATTGCACCACTGAGGGGTGGTGCTGGGCTGGAACTTCTGGGCCTCTGCTTCTGTTGGACTGCAGATGATCCCAAGGGTGAGTCCAGAAGCAAAGGTGTTCTCTGGGTCCTGTGGAGTCTGGATCTGTCTTGTCCAGGACGCACTAGGGATCCTGAGGAATGAACAGGCAAGTACAGAAACTGGACTTAGGAATTTTTTCTAGATCTCCTCTCACTCTGAGAGTAAGGACTGTTCACCATGCAAAGCTGTAGGTATACATTGGGTTTCCATTTTATAGTAATTATGAGATTGTACATGCAAGGGTTCCCTTCCCTTTTTACACAGATATTCTCTCTTATAAAACTGTGTTGCTCAGAACATGTTTGTTGTTTTATTAGTTACCTGTCCTGGCTTTTTATTCTCTCTTTTAATTTACGATACTGGTTTCTTAGGTTATTAAAAAGGGTGAAAGTAGGAATTACCTCAGTCAGTTTTTTTAGATTTTGGAAAATGTGATGGCAGTTTCTAAAATCAGAATGGTCTGTTGATTTTTTCCAGCAAGTGTTTTCTTATTCATAATTTCCATAAAACACAGACAGATGGATTGTTCCCTGCCCTTTGTCAGGGTGGTGGGACCTCTCTCTCCAGTCAGAGAGGTGTGAAGGTGAGTTCTTGCCTTTAGAGGAGGTCAGATTCCATTCTCTCACATCTCTTCAGACTGCAGCATCCTCTCTGGCAGGTCCAATGCTTATAGCAGTCATACCAAACCTTTGCAGAATATTGCAGGTAGGTGTCCCTCCAACACATTATTACTCTAGGGATGTGCAGGTTAACCTAGCTCCTTTCTGAAGAAAAAATAGCTTCCCTGAGTTGCAAAAATCATTACATTGATGTTCTTTAAACAAACAAACAAACAAAAAGATATGATTGTTTCTGTTGTGATTTTTGTGTCTATATTGTCAATGTATGGAAGTTTAAATTTTGGAGTTTATAGAAGTTGTGGGGCTTTGTTTGGGTTTTTTATGTTTGTTTATTGGTTGAATGGTTTTTTTAAAGCTTCCAGTCAGGGATCACAAATGTCTAGGCATAAGCTTTAATTCAGTAAGAACATGTATTTCATTCCTTGAGCTTAGGGCTTTGAAGTGTAGCTCATAACTCCAGTTTTGACAAACACTGAAAGCCAGTCATGATGCCTGAGACTGACAGTTTATTGGTATAAACAAATATGTTTAAGTTTTATCAAGCATTAGGGGCATGATCCTGTAAATCTTTTGTAGAAAAAGTGCTACTGAATACCAGCTTAGGTTCTGTATATTTTAATTTTCATCACTATCTAAGTATAAATTTGCATAGATTGATAGTGAATCTATATTTAACAACAAGATTTTGTCAATAGTTATGCCAATTCAGAATCATAGTTATTTTCAGGTTCTAAGAAAAATGACTTGAAAAGGGGTTTGCCCAAATGGATAAGTCATGTAATTTCTATTCTACAGCTTTAGTAGATTGAAGGTGGCATCTCTGTAGAAGTTGAAAATTTTTGTCAGGATGTATGTATTTTACATGATAGGTTTTGTATTTTAGTTTTCTTAAAATGTATTGATTTCTATGGGAAATCAGTGCTGAAAATCTGGGACAGGTAGGTTACGCTGTCTTTCCATTTATTTTTTCCAGGTCAGTAGCAACAAAAGTCTCCAACATCCGATTCTAGTAATGTGAAGTTGTTGGGAAGTGGTGAGCTGGATTCCTGACTGGTTTGACCAGTCCACATTGTGAAAACTGTAGTCAGGATTTTGGGAAATATATTGATGATGGGTGGGAGAATGTGGTGAGTCTTGGCTGTGGAAGGCTTTCCTGGAGGCTTTGCCTCAGAACTGAAAGAACCAAATTTTCAACCAGCAGACTTGAGTCTTCTTCCCTGTTTAATATTTATTTCTTAAGTAC